CTAGAGAAAATGAGGAGCATATTGGAAGAGTCGATGCTGGAAACGCGCAGTATGCCTCTCGAAAATCAACCGCGACTTTCCCGCATACCCCTTAGCAAGCGAAATCGGGCTGTCGTGCGGGCTCTTAACCCAATGCTGGTGATCTATTTGGAAGCCAGCCGGGACCTTTGCGAGACGGACTAAATTCTTTTCCTGGCAACGTATTATTGGCGCCAAACTTCCGTGGCTGAACGTGCTACTCAAAGAAGTAGCGCCATCCCAGCCTGAAGAAAAAGAATTGAGGACCGTATCGCAAAGGCAAGGGCCCTTATCGGCAGACTGACAAGCTTCAGGTCGGGTAATAATAGACCGAGAGTGGTGCGCACTATTAGAATGGCGTTTGCTGGGACAAATATTAGTTTGTCCCAGCCGGATATCACGCAGCAACTAACGGAGCGCATAGATGACCTGAAGCAAAAAATCGCTGCTTGGGGGGAAGCGGATTCGACGATTTAGCGAGAGGTCAAGGCGGTTCAACCAGAATCGTCTCTTCCAGAGTGATCAGAAAAGGCTCTATAAATCATTGGAGCGACCAGAGGTATGTGGAGCGGGCCCAGGACCACATCAGGCTGACACCGTCGCATTTTAGCGTGGCCCGTGGTCAGAGCCCGTAAAACACAGCGAGGGCCCTTGGATGGAAGTTGTGGCGAGCCAGAGTGTAAGTGTTACGCCTATGGACTCCGTCACCATAACGCCTGAAGACGTGGCTGAGGCGGTCCGTAGGGCCCCGAACTGGAAAAGTCCGGGGCTCGACGGGCTGCATCATTACTGGCTGAAGGGGTTCGTAGTGTGTCACGCTTTGCTCGCCCGACAGTTTCAAGAGGCTCTCGATCAGAAGTCGCTCCCGAGCCTCTTCACTACTGGGATCACTCACTTGGTTCCTAAAGATCAGGATACCACAGACCCGAGCAAATACCGCCCCATCACGTGTCTACCCACCATATATAAGACACTGACATCCATTTTGAGCGCGAGAATCACTCGTCACCTGGAGTTAAATCAGGTGATGTCACGCGCTCAAAATGGATGTCGGGGCGGTGGTCGTGGAACCAAGGAACCACTCCTCATTGACGCGGTCATTGGCAAAGTGGTGAAATGCAACCGTCGGAATTTCTCCGCCGCCTGGATAGACTACTGAAAGGCATTCGCCTCGGTGCCCCATACATGGCTAAAGAGGGTCCTCGAGCTGTACAAGATTGACTGTACAGTTAGAAACTTCCTCGAGCAGTGTATGGGGCAGTGGAGTACGATCCTCTGTTATCAGGGCGAGCGGATGATGGCTGCGGAGAACCACATAAGGATAAGAAGGGGTATCTTCCAGGGCGATTGTCTGAGTCCAATCTGGTTCTGCCTCTCTCTGAACCCTCTCAGTACCTTACTGGAGGGCTCCGGGAGAGGATTTCAGCTACGGAAAGGAGGAACAAAAGTGACCCACCTTTTCTATATGGATGACCTCAAGTTATTCGCCTCCAGTCGCTCCCATCTTATGGAATTGCTAAACATCACTTGTGAATTTAGCAATTCCATTGAAATGGAGCTGGGGACGGATAAGTGTGCGGTCCTTCATGTTGAGAGGGGAAGGGTTGCTAACTCTGAGGGCATAGATTTATCTATGCCCGTCAACTTAAGGACCCTTTCCGAGGCTGAAACATACCGATACCTGGGTATATCACAGAACATCGGTATCGATGAGGCTGGTATGAAACAGTCAGTTTGCGACGTGTTTTATGCACGCTTGACCAAAGTGCTTAACAGCCTTTTGTCCGGTGTGAATAAGACACACGCATATAACGGTTGGGTCATGCCTGTCCTCATATATACCTTTGGCATACTCAGGTGGACTCAGACCGAACTTAACGCCCTGGATAGAAAAGTCCGCACTACCATGACGTCCCATAGGATGCATCATCCGAGATCGTCGGTAATGAGGCTGTACTTGCCGCGAAAGCAAGGTGGGCGTGGTTTTCGGAGCGCGCTCACCATACATAATCGCGAAGTGTGCAGCCTCCGTCATTACTTTCTGGCGAGATCGGATGATCCATTCTATAATGACGTCATTTCTAGTGATAAAGGGCTTACCCCTCTATCCTTAGCCCACGAGCAATGGCAGGACCCAGCAGTGCTTAGCATTTCCGACCGGGAGACGGTATGGAAGGAGAAGGAGCTCCACGGGAGGTACTACAGGGACTCTTCATGAGCCCTTCGTAGATACAGTCGCCTCCCTCAACTGGCTACGTTTCGGTTACCTCTTCGGGGAAACCGAGGGTTTTGTCTGTGCAATACAGGATCAGGTTATTAAGACCAACAACTATCGGAGATACATCCTAAAGGATGGCACCGTCGACGTCTGTCGAGCTTGTCGCCATTTCGGTGAGTCGCTTAGGCATATCATCTCCGGTTGTTCGGCGCTTTCTAACTCTGAGTACTTGCACAGGCACAACCTAGTAGCCAGAATTCTACACCAGGAGCTCGCTCTGAAATACGGTCTCGTGGACCGGAAATTGCCGTATTACAAGTACTTGCCGGAAGCCGTGCTCGAAAATAACCGCGCCAGGCTCTACTGGGACCGGGCCATCATCACAGACAGGACTATTCTTGCGAATAAGCCTGATATTGTGCTGATGGACCGGGCACAGTCAAGGATATTTTTGGTCGATATTACCATCCCGTATGACGAGAACCTCTTAAAAGCCTAAACAGATAAGCAATCAAAATATCTGGACCTGGCTCACGAGGTGACCGACATGTAGGGTGGTCTGCCGACCGAAATTATTCCTGTAGTCGTCTCTGCGAATGGGCTAATCCCAGTTAGCCTCTCTGGTCATCTCAGGCGACTGGGACTCCGTGACGGACCGCTCCGGGCTCAAATGCAGAAGGCGGTGCTCCTTGATACTGCCCGCATCGTCCGCCGGTTTTCTTTCCCTTTCCCCCTAACCCTCGGCCGTTTGGTCTCCCCTGCCGAGGGCTTCCATCTGGTTGGGCTTTTATATATTTATGTATTTTTGTATTTATTTTATTTTAGTGATATTTATGTATATTTATCTTTTCATTTTCATTTATAATTATATATTTATAGATCCCAACCAGATGAGAAAACTATATAGATACCCCCCATAATAATAATAATAATAATATATGTATATTTAAATCTCTTTGGTGGTATGTCTGCTCAATGTACTTCGAGGAGTCATGCTTGTGTGTACACATGACAATGCAGCAATTCTTGTGTGTGTATATATATATATATATATATATATATATATATATATATATATATATATATATATATATATATAACGGCTCGAACGATTTTCATAAAATTTAGTGTCCAGGAAGTTTCGGGGGGCAATAAATCGATCTAGCTAGGATTTATTTTTAGAAAATTTCCTTTTGTCCGTGTTTGCAGGCAATAAAAAAACTACTACAATATAAGAAGGTAAATTTTGACAGACTACTAACGATCGTAATAGCTCAGGTGGGATGTCGGTCAGGCGTGATATCGGAGTTCCGTGGTTCGCGTCCCGTCTTGGGTCCGACTTTATTTTCCTTTTTTTTCAAATTCCCTTCTTTTGTGAGAAAATCTATTATTTCGAGCCTTTTTTTAGTAATTTTTAAAAAGAAGAAAAATTTTAATTAAACTAATTGCACTCATGATTTTCATTCAAATAACCAGTTCAGTTATGTAGAGAGCACGAGTGATCTGTGACAGTAAACACCTGGCTGCAGAGCTCCACCATGTCAAGCAAGTTTTGCATGACAACAAGCTTCGAGTCCCGCGCCTACGTCACAGTGAACGAGTGAAGCCGGCCACAGTCGAGCGTGTACCTGCTGTACTGCCATATGTTAGAGGAGTCACTGACAATATTGGCTACATCTTGAAGCGCGCTTCCATCAAAACATACTTCAAGCCGCTGAAGAAGATTGGTCAGTTTTTACCATCAGTCAAGTGTAATGTCCCTCTGCAAGATGCAGGAGTGTACAAACTTGATTGTGAATGTGGTCTCTCCTACATAGGACAAACTAAAAGACCAATAAAAACCCGCGTTGAAGGACATATAGCTGATGTGAAGAATCGACGCTCCGGGAAGTCTGCAGTCTCTGAACACGTACAGGATCACTACTACATCACTACATCAGATTTGATATACCGCAAATCCTCGCTAAAGAACACAGATTCCTTCCAAGGATGATTCGCGAGGCTATTGAAATAAAAAAACATCCTAATTTCAATAGAGAAGATGGCTGGGTGCTACCATCTGCTTGAGATCCTATAATAAATAAAATTAAATCCCAACCCAAGCATACAACTGCTAGACTTCAAGATACCATAATTTCATACTGCATAGATCGGAACAAAAGTTAAATTTTAATCTATGGTAACCGCGGTTAACTATGACATATGGACGTTGAACATCTCAGTCCCGCCCGTGACCATGAGTGCTGTAAAGAGTTCGAAACGTCGGGTATTTAAAAAGTTAAATATACGCGATAAATTCCGTAAAAACTAGTATTATTTCAACCAGTTCAGTTTTTTCTATTATGTCAATAAGATCAAAAATATTATTCATGTAATTTGTATCTAAATGTAACTTAAAAAAAACCGAGCAAATCTCGGTCATCCGGGTACTATTTTATTATGTTATAAGATGACCCAAACCACCTAAAATTCATTTAATTGTAACTCTTAATTTTTTTCCTAAACCACCCTGCTATTGAGGCGAACAAATAATTTTTTTTTTTTCATTTAAATTGGTAAGAATATTAATGTACGGCAATTGATTTTTAAAATAAAATAATTTTGTGAAGCATAATGTCATCATGTCATGTGTTATAAATACTTTTATATTTTGACAGTAATTCAATGAATGAAGTAGTTAGATTGTGTCACTAATAATATTGTAACTTTTTCAGCATACAAAAGTTTCGTATTTTATGTAGATAACTAGTGTCGTACTGCCTACCTGTTCTAACGCCTGCCATATGTCGGCATCAGTGTACTTGTCAAATGGATCCATGTTGTAGCGCAAGCTGGCGGAGAACAACACCGGCTCCTGAGGAATGATGGCGATCTTGGATCTAAGCTCCTGCAATCGTTATACGAAATAAATCAGTAAAATAGAATATAATATTCTAAATTGACTTTGAGTTTCATGTTTGCGTTACCTTATTTGTCTTACAAAAATTAATTGATGTTTTTTAGTCTAGATATTCAAATATATAAAATAACATTAACTATCTGTGTAATGTCTATGCGAAACAGTTCAGGGAGTAAGGGCTAACAATCTTATGCTCACCAGATGTCGCTAGCTGGGACAAATGTAAACATATTTTCTTTTTTATGTTTTCAGCAAAAAAAAAACGAGTGTGCTTATGACCACACGACTGAAGTAAAACTTCTTTAGTTTTATCTGTATATATATATATATATATATATATATATATATATATATATATATATATATATATATATATACGCATATATATGCATATTTGAATAATATATACATGTGTATACATATACATATATTAATTTTCTACAAATATTTAAATTAATTATCGGCTTCCTTCCATAATTTATTATTGTTAACCGGAAAATTCACAAAACATGAACTTTAAAATTAATTAACAATTTTATTCACTTTATAAGTAGAATATTTAATGTATTGAACAAAATATTAACTCATGAAATTGTTCAAAATGAAATAAAATTACGAAAAATAACTGGCTATGAGAAAAAGAGAGAAAGAAAATGTGCGTGCGCACTGCTCTCTCTGTTTATATCCTCCACACAACTCCCATTCGCCTCATCTGATCACACTTTTCGTAACGCTTTCGTCACGCGTTCGCCAGCTTACTCCCCAAGTCAAGCGTTCGTAAAGAAGTTTTACTTCAAAAAACCCGAAAACACTTAATACGAGATAAAATTAAAACGTGGTACTGCCGCTGAACAAGTGCTGGATTTGAAAAAACATGAAACACTAGGTATGGTTCATAAAAGAGCTTGATCTCTGTGACAGCTGTCAGTAAAAATCACGCCTATAAAGTCCTGAATTTCTAAGTAGTACAGACAGTACCTGTCGATCTCATACTTTATGGGCATGTACTAATTAGGTCGGCATGCCCATAAAGTATGACATTGACAGGTACTGTCTGTATTACTAAGAAATTCAGGACTTCATAGGCGTGATTTTACTGACAGCTGCCGCAGAGATCAAGCTATCTTTTATGAACTATAGTGAATTACCAGGTGGTAGAACTCGTTTTCTGTGTGGGAGTACGTCTGGATAGACTGCCCTCTTACCTATTTCCACACTAAATAGCGTTGCGCGCACTGCTGTGTTCCGGGTACAGGGAGCCAGTACAACAACAGGCTGTGAGGCGTTCCACCTCAGTACTCAAAGGTGACAACGCGATCAATTGTCGCCCCCTTTGTTTGTAGTTGGTTGCAGTACTGTAGCCACTTACAATCAGGTGGATTGTGAGTACGTTTGTCAATTCAATTCTATAAAGAAAAAATAAACATTTACAATTCACCTTGAGAGAAATTTCGCCGGTGTCAACATCGTCGATGTACATGTGGCCGTCAATGGGTGCCAGGCGAAACAAAGCTGATATGAGCGATGATTTACCCGCACCCGTACGTCCCACGACACCGACCTGCAATGATTTCAAATTGGTAGTCACACCTCATAGCCTTGTAGTAGATTATTTTCACTTATGCCCAACAATCAACGGTTTTTCTTAGGACTTGATCTACTCGTACAATTATATTCAGATTTCAAACTAAAAACTTATTTTCGTAAGAATAAAATTTTTCAATAGTTTCAGATTAGAGCAAGGTGGTGTAGAGTGTGGCACGACACCGTGATAAAAAAAAAACATTTCTTTAAAATGTATGTACATAAATATACATTACGTGATAAGGTTTTAAGGGAAGATATTAAAAATACTACGTCAAATGGCTTAGCAAGATCCTCCGTTATGCCAAAATTATTGCAGTATTAATTTTGAAATAAATATATGGTAAAGTTAAGAATTCATGTTAAGTGCTATGCTAGACGAAAACACGATTCCGTAAAACTTTCTCTATATAAAAAAAATAGTGAAATCCGTGTGTGTTTGGAGCCAAGGTCGCTGATTCGCGCGAATTTTTCGCTCTCGGTGCCACGGTAAGCGAGCTGGCGGCGCGGCTGCGCGGAGCGAGAGTTAAAGACAGTAAGTTCAGTCTACGTAGTTTTGATCAAAAGTAATAATTAAACAGCTTAAGGTATTCCGGGTTAACTTCAACATCGGGACGTTAAAAATTCTAATCGTGGATAGATGTAGATGTCTATGGGCCACAGCATCCACTTACCATAAGGTGAGCTGTGTGTTCGTTTGTCACCCTTATTCTATAAAAAAAGACTCCACGGGCTCTACCCTCACTACTTATGAATAGGTGTTGGGTAACCCGCATACCAAGTTTGGCAACTTTGGCAAAATCACCCCTATGAAGCAATTTATGGGGGAGGTCTATATTTAGAAGTGAACTTTTATAAGCTCAAATGGTAATGGATGAGGCGACTCTGAGAAAGTCCAGTAATACTTAATGGCCGCTGGTCGCTAGTTGCGTATATAAAGAATGACTGCCTCGTTGGTCTAGTGGTTGTAATAGTGCGACTGCTGATCATGAGGTCCTGGGTTCGAATCCCGGGTCGGGCCAAAAAATTAATTATTGAGTTTTTCCTTCAAGAAATCCCCAGTAGTTGCCCGGATTCAAGAAGTTGGCGGTGTCTCACCCCTGTGCCTCGGAAAGTACGTAAAGGCGTTGGTCCTGCGCCTGATCTCTCCAGTCGTGTCGGTTTACCGTCCCATCGGATTATGAGAGTGAGGGAATAGAGAGTGCACCTGTGCTTGCGCATACACTTGGGCACTATAATCTTGCCCTGCGCCGATGGCTCCGTCTCCGTTGAGGCAGGCCGCCGTGGCCGGAATTCGGTCTGGAGGATATTATTGTTATATAAAAATGAAAATACTAAGATCGACGACGGAGTGCTGAAATGATAAATATGGTGGATCCCATCGAAATTTATACACAATTTACTAACTGAAGCTAACATCAAATAGGTGTGGGCTACACTCGGTAAAGTTAGCAAACTGTTACCAGCTTCTGTTCCTTTGAAATAACGGTTCCGGTAGCCTGTTCCAAAATAACAGGTTGTTACAACATATTTAGATAATCCCATGCAGTCGCATGCATCCCTCAAATCCCAAGCGGTCGTATGCGACCGCACCCACCCACAGCACTTTAAACCATTAAAACTTATATTTAGAGAAAATTTTATATTGATTCTATAATGCCAAACCTCTTCATAGAAAAGTAGTCTTTAAATATAAGTTTTAATAGTTTAAATTGCTGTGGGTGTGCGAAGTCGAATCCGACCGTTTGGAATTTGACGGAATATTGCCTTGGTCGGATCCGACAACTTGGGGTTTTTGAGAGGCTAAACTGCGCCAGTCTCTGTTACATCGGTTCGAGCTCTTCTATGTTTTGAGCAAGGACATATAAAGAGTATTCTAAGTTGTATCAAGACATGTTTTCGAAGTAATATGCCTGACTCTTAACACCCGTCCGTATAATATTCCTTGAGGCCCTAATAGAATTTTGTCAGTTAAGGGGCTCCGATTTTCGTCACCTAATATTCGAAGCACAGGAGCGATGGTACGCTGATAACAATGCTGCTATTTTATGCTGGTATTCTTTGAAGGCGTGGTCCATTCCCGATCGAGCCGACTATGTAGCGGCAGTGTGGTTTCACGTATTTTCGTAAGCCGATATTACACGGTCTTTTAGCGTGCTCGACGCGAGCTCAAGTTCTTTGATGGATCAAATTAATCCTGCCAGGTCAGATCTTTCTACATTTGGAACATCGTTGGTCGATATCAGTTTCTTCGGTTACCGTATGGAGTAAATTGTTCTCTAGAAATATTTTATGTAAAGTTAAGACAGTATCTGGAAGATTTAGAGGATATCGACAGATTTATTGATGACGTAATAGTTTGGGAGAATACTAAAGTACAAAATGACTTTAGATTAAAATGTTTCTGAAATAGGCTAGAGAGTTTGGTATAAAATTGAATAAGGAGAAGTGTAAGTTTTTTAGTTAACGAAATGGACGAGACGGACCAGACGAGTCGTAAAGTGAAGCTATTATGGGTACGCCATATCCTGGAGATCGTAAAGCACTGGAGAGGTTTATGGGTATGGTGTTATCTTTCTAAATGTATTCAAAATGTGTCTGTGTTTCGAAGCTTATGGAAAAATAGTTCGGTATGGCTGTGGAAGCTATATTTACATTACACGATTTCAGTGTTTTTCCCCATCCCAAAAGAGCTATATATTATATACATTTACACACACCTCTTTATAAACATACTGTATCTGAGCGTGACGGTTACGCCCAACGTGTCGAAAGACGTTTTCACTTCAAAAATTATTGTATATTTATTGTATATAATTATGGGGAATGCTCCCTATCACTCTATCCAATTAGATAAACCTCCCACACAAGCTAACAAAAAAGCATGGTCTAGTGGCATCACTACAAAACCATGGTTTGGATGCCAACATGAATTTATTGAAAGCAAAACTGTTAAAATTAGTCGAACAAAATAAATCTGTGAGGCCAAAATACGCCATCGGTGAGTTGGCCCAGTAACATGGACATAAAAAAACCCACCATACCACTGTCATTACAATGCTAAGGAGATGATCTAGGCTCAAGTGAAAGGTTAGTATTTAAATATTTCAATCTAAAAAAATATTTAAAAAAAGAACCAATGTATACGTATTTATAGAAGAAGAACAATTGAAGAGCATTATAATACTGGTAGATCTTTTTCGTCTAATATAGCGGCTGACTGCAGTTGTAATGTCATAGTTAATTGAATGGCATATTTATTAGAAACTATCTAGCCGTCTGACTGCATAAGGGAATAAAGAATGTAGTCATACTAGGCTGCACTAAAAGTATCGGGAATGGGATATTTCCACTGTTCCTGTCATATTAAAATCTTTTTAATTGAAAACTCCTTGGTTTTAAAAATCGAATACCGTATATTTATTTAAAAAAAGATTCTCGGTCTTGTCACAAGGTTTTGTCAAACTTGTTTAGTCGTTGAGAAAATGGAATTGACTCGAAAAAATTCAAGAGCGATGATTTATTATGACTTTCGAAGTGGTTTAACACAAAAAAGTGTGTTGATCGGATGGTTTCTGCATTTGGTGATGAAGCCCCATCAAAAACCACAATTTATCGCTGATTTGCTGAATTTCAACGTGGACGTGTCAAGCTCAGTGATGATCCCCGTCAAGGTCGTCCAAAAACTGCAGTCACCCAAGAAAACGTTGATGCTGTGCGTAAGCTAAATGAGGAAGATCGACATGTGACATACCGCGAAGTTCAGGCAACTTTAGACATTGTCAAATACAAATAATCTTGCATGAACAATTAGGTGTAAAAAAGTTGTTTTCCCGATGGATACCGCATTCGCTCTGTGAAGAGCAAAAAGCGGCTCGCGTTACTTGGCGCGTCAGAACTCTCGAAAGAGATTCCACGCAAGTTACTCAAATGCTGTATACAACATCGTATCAGGTGACGAATCCTGGTTATACGCGTACGAACCCGAAACAAAAAACCAGTCACGAGTTTGGGTGTTCGAAAATGAGTTAAAGCCAACAATATTGTTCGTTCACGGAGTGTTGCAAAAAAAAATGGTGGCCACGTTTGTCTCCAAAACCGGCCATGTTACGACTATTCCTCTTGAGGGATAAAGAACGGTTAATGGACCAGAACAAAAGAGTTTTTAGAGCAAGAACACATAGAATTATTAGACCATCCGCCGTACAGCCCCGATCTAAGCCCTAATGATTTCTATACTTTCCCTAAAATAAAGAACAAATTGCGTGGACAGAGATTTTCATCACCTGAAGAAGCTGTGGACGCCTACAAAATGGCCATTTTGCAGACCCCAACTTACGAATGGAATGGTTACTTCAATGATTGGTTTCATCGTATAGAAAATTGTGTCAAAATTCGCGGAGAATACTTCGAAAAGCAATTAATACATTTTTAAATAGTAATGTAATATATAATTCTCAAGCAGTAATTGGTTTTGTCACTATGTGATATACAGGGAATATTTTGCAATGTTAAAAAAGACCGCTGCGAGGACCCCTTTTAAATTGGTGCAAAGACTATGTTAAAGAGAGAGCATATAGATTTAAAGTAGGAAATGCTACAAGTACAAAGTAAAACGTCATACATGGTACTGCACAGGGATCTGTGCTTGGGCCTTTGCATTACTTGACCTATGTTAATAATGTTGTCAATGTAGTTAAAAACTGCAAGATATATCAGTTTGCAGACGATACCTGCGTACTAGCGGCGGAAAACGACATATATGTGGCATTACAGAAATTGCAAGAAGATTTCACTAACCTTATGAAATCGTCTCACGATGCAGGGCTTGTTCTGAATGCCACAAAAACAAAAATGATGTACATTTCACCCAGTCATAATAGAGTATCTGTTCCTTTAAAACTCGTTGCCCACAGCCACCAATGTCTCCATAATAACATGTCTAACCAGACTTGTAATTGTAGTCATATTGAATTA